TGTAAAGAGAGAGTCTTGCATCTTTTCTTCTGCTGTGTGAGTGAGATCTTGTGTAGATCAACTGTGAGGGAGTGTGATCTGTTGAGATCAAACTGTGTAGTGAGAGATCGTGTGGGATCGCTGTGTAGATGAAGTTTCGGCTTCCAAACCGGGTGTGTAGTGGATTTCTCCTCGAGAGTGGGGAGCGAGGACGTAGGTCAGCGGGCCGAACCTCGTTAACACATCGTGCGTCAAGGATAACGATTCCTAACCCTATCTCTCTTACTTTGATTGCATTTTTATTTTGTGGTTTGCTTGTGTTTTATTTTTATTGCATATTAGAGCCTCTTGACCCTAATCACCCCCCCCTCTAGGGTCCTTCAGTTGGGCCCCATGCAGACGATAGTGAGTCTCTTGCTGCTTCTGTATTACTGCCACATACGGGGGCTATTATCCCTAGCCCGATGACTGGCATAATGACTAAAGCAGATGTGACTGAAAGTTCTCCCGGACTCTCGGCTGCAGATGATGAAGAACCGTTAGATTATGGGACCTCTTCTCGTAGCGACGATGCTGATGGGGAAGAAAGTGATGGTGATGATAATTCTGTTGACTGGGCCAATCTACCACCACCCTCTTTTGACAAGGCGTCCGCTTATCTTCCTTCTTCCCCTATTGGAAAAGCTTACACACTCTGGTTTCTCTGGAATTTTCTTTCTTTTATACTAACTGCTCTTTTGTGTAGGTTCTCCAACTCGTGAGGCTACTGATACGACTTTGTCTCCTACCCAGCAAGCAACAGCTGTCTCTCTCTCCGAGCCAACACCAGTAACAATAACTTATTTACAAGAAGAATCCCCTCCGCTAACGATTTCTCTCAAATCTGCGGGGATGGAGAATGTGCTGAGTTCAGCCCAAGCAGGGGCACTCATGATTCTTCCTTCAAGTCCTTCGCAATTGGATATTACTATGGCTTCCCGGCTTCTTCATGATCGTCGCCAACAGTTCTTGCGCCGGGGTCTACAATTTTAGGCTCCCCGTTGACATCTCCTGTGACATCTCTAAGTCCAGTGGTCATTCCCTCCATGCTTAAAATTCTTATACGACCCTTGGAGGATACGATGAAGGTGGCGATTGAGGAGGTCGGCGCCGGACGAGCTTCATTCGATTCTTTTAAGCCAATACTCACGCATTCTTTGAACGTCATTCGATATGTGGATGACGCTCGTTGGTTTCAGCACTATTCCGAGAATGTCTCTCAATTGGAAAAGGATCTGAGAGCTTTGGAGGAGTTGCACTGTGCTGATCTTGCTGCCCAAATTACATTAACCTTTGATGATCTCAGGGCTGAAGCAGCTCATCAATATGAAGCTCTTCAAAAAAATATCACTGAAAGGGAGCTTGAGATTGCATCCTTACAGGGACAATGTATTCAAAAGCAATAGGCCGTAGTTGCTTCTAATACTGCTATACAAACATCTCGAGTAGAAATCGATCGACTAGAGGTGGAGTTGGCTCGACACAAAGCTGAACTTGCACGGGAGGAAGAGATCTTAAAAAGACTCACAATAGAAAGTGTAAAGACCTACGCCACCTATCGTTCGTCAATCCAGGCTCTTGAACTTGTCCAAAAGGAAGCTATCACGATGATGCCGGATGAGAACGAGCTTAAAAAGAGAGCCGAGGTAATGGTACAGGCCGCTCATGAGGAGAAGCTATCCGTTATTAAGTCCAGACTCACGTCTTTCAATTTTACTGGCCCAGAGGCGTAATTATGTATTGTCCTGAAATTATATGAAAAATGCCAAGTTTAGAAAATTTTCTTTATTATCACTTAAGATAATTCTAGAAAATTTTGATTTGTTAGGGATAAGTACTCGTCATTCTCTTAGGATATGACTTGTTCAATAGAATTCTTCCCGTGTTATGTTTTTGCCTTAAACACTAAAAGAAATCCACAAATGCCAGAGGTGTGGTACCAAATTGGCGTGAATTCTCACATAAAGTGGAATTCAAGAATTTTCCTTATAGCCAATAAGAGCCATTCTGGAAAGAATTTGACTTGCTGAGGATTTTATGAGAGCATTTGTTAAAAAATGTTCTCATAAGGGGGTTTAAACTGTTAGAGTTATAATATTATCATAACAGAGAAAATATTACGATCGGGGTAATTTTGAGGACTTATCGCTCTATGGAGGAAAGTCGACAAGTTGATTTTGTCAGAGGTGTGATATTAACGTGACAGAGAAGATATTGCGATCGGGGCAATTTTAAGGACTTATCGCTCTATTGAGGAGTCGATAAGTGGATTTGTCAGAGGTGTGATATTAACGTGACAGGGAAGATATTACGATCGAGGCAGTTTTGAGGACTTATCGCTCTATTGAGGAGAGTCGATAAGTGAATTTGTCAGATGTGTGATATTAACGTGACAGTGAAGATATTGCGATCGGGATAATTTTGAGGACTTATCGCTCTATTGAGGAGAGTCGATAAGTGGATTTGTCAGATGTGTGATATTAACGTGACAGGGAAGATATTGCGATCGGGACAATTTTGAGGACTTATCGCTCTATTGAGGAGAGTCGATAAGTGGATTTGTCAGAGGTGTGATATTAAAGTGTTAGGAAAAATATTTATGTGATTTGAACATAATTTGGGGGACTCAGCGTCTCGCTGGGGAGAATTGCCAAGTGGTTTATCATCAGAGTGATGACTTGGAAATTTTATCCCTCTATTAAAGAGAGTTGATAAATTGGTTATTTACTATTCTGTTGGGGAGAGTTAGTAAATTGATCATGATTTGAGTGATTTTGGAGACTTATCGTTCTATTGACGAGAATATAAGTTGGTTTTAACAGAGGAATTGTCATTGCATTGGGAGTCACTGCTAGAATATGAGGTTTTGCCGACGGACTAATAGCGACGGAAATTTCCGTCGTTATAAGTTATGTTATAGAGCGACGGAAATTTCCGTCGTTATAAGTTATGTTATAGCGACGGAAAATTCCGTCGTTATTATTCTGTCGACAAAAGTTTTTTGCCGACGGAAAAATCATGTTTAGCGACAAAACTTTTTCGTCGCTTTAATTTTACCAACGGATTTTTAGCGACGGAAAATTCTGTCGCTAAAGAAAATTGTTGGGAAAAAAATTTGGACGCGAGCGTGCCCAAAAAATTTGGGCAGCCCGCGCCCGAGAGAGGGATTTATCCAAATCCCTCTCTCATTTCCCATTTCCCTCTCTCTCTCTTCATTCCCCCCCCTCTCCCCCTTCTCGTTCTCTTCGCCGCCCTACCCCCTCGTCGCCGCCGCCTCCCTCTCTCTTTCTCTCTCAAGGTACTCTCTCCTCCCTCAATTTGCAATCTATTTAGAAAATGGGTGACATCTCGGCTTCGAATTTGAATGGAGGTTACGGGGAGCGTAGGAGGAAGAGCTGTTGGTATGAAGAAGAGATTGAAGAGAACTTGAGATGGTGCTCTCTCCCAAGCGAAAATAGAGGAGGAGACTCGTCGCTACTTCGAGGGCCTCGCTCCCAAGCGCCACCCTAAACCCTCAAGGAGCGATATTGACCCCGCCAGTATCGACCATCTCCCCATCTCCGGTCGAGACTCCATCCCTGAGTTCCAGAAGCTGCGGATCTCGCGTCAAATCCTCAGGTGTGTGCGCCGTGGGTCCCTTTCAGCGAAACCCTATCGATCTCAAAATCATAGTTAATTAATTAATTAATTTTTTGCTAACACGCTGTCTTCGAGCAGAGGCTGGTTTGTGAGGGAGGCGAGGTGGTAGAGGAGTACGTGGAGACTGGGTATTACGAGGATCTCAACTGCGTCGACAAGCAACATCACACGGTATAAATAACCCATCTTTCTTTTTATTATTATTATTAATTTAGCTTTTCTAAAATTCAGTTAGAATTCTATGATGATTATATATGCTTATTTATTCTTTTGGGGTGGCCGGAGTTAAAAGTTAAAACATGATATTTGTAGACTGGAACTAGGTTCATCAAAGTGGAAAAACCTGCAGACGGTGATTTCGGTGCAAAAATGCAATTTCAATCGTAATTTATGCTGTGTAATTTATTTTTTTTATTTTACTTTGTTCCCTCTGAGGAGCATAGCAAATTTGTAGTGTTGCGATCGTCAACTTCATATTATGTAGTTTCCTGTGTCTTTCCCTCAAAGCAATTTTGTAACGTTATTTCTTAATCAAATTTTTTTTAATCCTTTACTGTTTTTTGGTTCTGACTTCATATCATTTGAATTGGCCACGAACTGAGTGCACATGTCAAATGCTTGACATCAATATATCAGCAAATACAAAGACTATATTCATATTAATGCACTAGTTCC